AGCGGATTCACGGAGACGAATGTACTTCGGCGACCCCCGTCGACGCGGTCTTCCAACCATGCTTCCAACCGTTCGTTTCGATGGAGCCGCCATCGAAAGTGCTGCAGTGAAACAAACACTCACAGAAACAAAAAGGCTCGATACCATTCCAAAATATCCAAAAAGATGTAAAGAAAAATACCAAAAGAACTTGTTGAGACTTTCTTTTAAACCAGATTTAGCGAACTGTAGAAGATTAACAAAGATTGACTTTACACACTAAAGGCAGCGATTTTCAACTACGCGAAATGTTTTTTCTGGAGTACAGGGCGCGCAATGCATCTAGGGTGAACATGGGCCTTTAAAGTCTGGTCATATCAAGAAGTAATAAGAGGTCTGCAGATGAGAAAATGTTGGCGTGTTTCTTTATGTGTCTAGGCCACAAGCAATAACTTAAAATCATGCTCTATTTTTGTTTTGCTTGACAAATAAAATTTTGGTGAGCAAGCTTTGACCACATAAGAGAGAATGTATGAAAGCTGCTAAAATTGGGCCTGATCTCTGATCAAAAAATCCCTAGGGCCTCCACCAAAACCCAAAAAGAATCCCTGGACCAAAAATTAACCCCCCAATTTTTAAAAAAAATAAGTTTGGTTGTACTTTATTTGCAGTACTACTCGATCGGGATACGTAGGCTTTACCGCAAATCTTCAGATTGTTTTGAATACCCCTAAAAAATCGCTACTTAAATCAAGCCACCCAAAAAAAATACTTGCCAAAATTTCCTACCCAAAAAAATCCCAGAATTGAAAATTTCAAACCCCCAAAAATCCTTCGATCATCCCTGTCACTTGAAATCTGGAGAATCCCCCTGAGGAATGCCCCCTGGCTACTTTCATAGGAAACAAAACCAAAAGAAAACCAAAAGAACTTTCTATAGCCTGAGAAAACAGCCAACCTTTGACCTTTTCCCTGCCAAATGATGTCTGAGAAACAAGCGCAGAAATTCCATTTGATACTGATGATGCATCACTACTCAGATCTCATTAGTGTTTCTGATTGGTCGTGCCGCAAAGAAAATTTTGTTCTACCGATGAGAAGCACTACCCAGATCTGGGTAGTGACGTATGGAATTTCTACGCTCGTTTCTAAGATGTCATTTGTTGGGGAAACCAGAGGTAGTGTCACCAAATGTCAACTGTTTTCTCAGGCTAAACTTTCTAGCTCCTTCTACTCATTGCATATACCCAACAACTTGAAACACTACGGACAGTCCTGATTTCTATTGCTTGTGTCACAGACGTAATCTAACCCTGGCTAGTCGTGCCAATATGAGGGAGTTACCTCGGTTTTGTAGCAAGTCATTCTCAAACGAACTCGAAAGAAGTCAAAAAGGGCGCCTTGAATTTCCTTCACCCTCGAAAGAAAAAAGAAAGGTAAAAAAATGGCAAAACTTCAACACTTAATACGAGCCACGACATTTCATCTCAAGAGAAAGGCAAAAGAACACGATATATAAATAAAGCTGTCCCATTTGTTCACAAATCTCAAGGTCGTAAATGTCCGCTTCAAATATGTAGGATAGACATCAAAGATACCTCCTTTAATGAGGCCGGATTTTTGAAAACGCGGAATCTAGCGAGATTTGCAGAATGTAAAAGCCAAATGGCATTTTTTTTCGCGTCCAATAAGGCCGAAATTACACTAACGAAGACAAAGGAAAGGAAAAATAGCCGGCAACTGAGAGTGAGGAAAAAGAAAGGACGAGAAGAAAAAAAAGCAAAGCCAGGTTGCACTCTTAGTGGTTTTATTTTGGCCGGAGGAGGTCTATTTGGCGGTAATTTTTTCCAAAAAAAAAACAGCTACACATTTAACCAATATAAACAGAACAGAGTTTGAAGTCGTAAAAAAGGCAGATCAAATCATTCTTCCAACCTGGTACATTGCATCATCTGCTGGTACGATTCCACTCTTTTTAAGGATGCTATTTACGAGAAACATAGTCACATATCTTAACAAATCATTTAAACCCATCATTAGCCACCGCAACAGTACTTCCTGAGGGCATGGTAAGCCATACTCAGTATCTTTAAACGATACTTTATAACCAAATGATACAAAACTTATCAATCCTCAAGGAATTCTCGCATTCTCATATTCATTTTCAAGCGGGGTAACCTTCGTTAACAAGCTAAAAAAAGGTTGAGACCCAAGTAGCCTGCGAGCAAGCTCTTCTCGCTGCTTGCTTGCGCGTTCTCTCGCGACTCGATCGCGCGTTCGCTCGCCCAAATAGGTGAGCTTGAGCCAGCGCAACGAACTTTTCTCAACATGTAGACATCGACGCAAGTTCATCCTAAGGTATAAGGTATCGTTTAAGAGTTGTAGGTGATTAAGAAAGAGCACGCACGCGCTTTTTATTCTAAAATTTTTAAAAATTTAAATTTCAAACGTTATATGTAACCATTTTCATCGCGCGATCATATTGTTGATGTAGACCCTAATCAACAGTGTTATAATAGTTCACCTACTGGTCTATATATATACTATTTAACAAATAGATTCCATGTGGCCTTGGGTCTGTTCAGTAATAGATCACAGATGACGTCAAAATGTGGTAAAAACAAAGAAGTTGCGCACGAGCCGCAGGCGAGTGTGTCACTGGTGTTTTTACCACATTTTGACGTCCTCTGTGATCTATTACTGAACAGACCCACGGCAACATGGAATCTATTTGTTAAATTATACAATGATCAGAAAAGAAAAAAGACCGATACACATACCTACCTCGTACCGCATGACTGTTCGAAGATTTGTGCTAGTTTAGGCATTTTTTAAGTTCCAAACGCTATATTTCGTCTCTGCTTCTTCTTTTCTTCGTTATCTTACTTGTATATAGTTTCTTCGAAAAGTTTTTCGATGTGTTTCCTTGCGCAAAGCAGAATAATGGCGAAAACATTTTGCAAAACAGCGAGTCTCTCGTAGCGATGACACACGTTGTGAAGATTTCTTGTAGTTTAGGCATTCTTAAGTTGACCTAAGTTGTAAAGGGCTCTTCTTCTCTCCTTTTCTCCATTTCTCTTCTTTGTAAATAGCTCTTGCAAAGTTTTTGTCGAGGCTTTCACTTGCTTTAATTCGAAATAATCTCACAAACATTTTCAAAACCGCGCGCCATATAATGAACAAAACAAAGGAAGCAAGTTTCCGGTGACGCCATCAATGTATCTGTACTCCAATAGATCATGGGCAACGACCAATCACAGCGCCCGTAGCATTCACATCATTGTTGCGGGTGACAAGAGGAGCCCGCAATCCTAGTCTCCAGGTTGTTATTACGCATGCGTCGCATATATGTAGCCAGCGGTGATTCGATTGGATTTCCACTATAAGAATGTATGGAATGCATAGAAAGCATTTTGATCACGCGCGTTTGGACCTTCTATCACTCGTTATCTGATCACGCGTGTTTTAACCATCTGTCACATGAAATTTTACGCAAAGAACAGCGCGGGAGCAAAAGCGTTTTGACCTTTCGTTGTCGCCCACACTCCGTAAACTTAGGTTATTACTAGTAATATATATCTGTGTGGATTTCATACAAGGTGCCTGTACTGAGTCTCTAGACAGCCAAGTCCAAGGAGCAACTAATAACCCTCCCCACCCATGAAGCTTATGACTAGTCAGTTCTGCTAGTAGTGGTATAATTATGAGTCACCGCGTTGATTTGGCTGGCCTAATTCTCTGACTTTGCACTGCTTTCTGACAAGAAACTCTAATCAAAGTGACAAAGTCTCCCCTCCCTTCCCCCCTAGTTTTCACACAAGACAAGTCACCCACCCACCCATGGATAGGTCTGGGTCTGGGTTGCTGACACCTAGCAAGACAGCAAGCCCCCGGGTTTTTTTCCGGCTACACTGGCTTGAACACAGGCGATGCCCGTGTTCAAGCGAAAACCTATTGGGCACCTTTTAGCAAAATCACACAGATATCCAGTGAAACCTCTATTAAGCGGACACCTTCAGGACCTTCCCAAGTGTCCGCATAAAAGAGGGTGTCCGTTTAATAGACAACATTCAACGATCAACGAGCAACATTCAACGGTCACTCTGTACTGTGATGAAGTTGCATGTTGTTAAAGACGCTATCAAGGGTTCAAGTTCATTACCTTTCATTTGGTATCCTCTTAATAGAGGTTTTTAACAATAGAAAATAGCCAAATCACCTTATTTTAGTGTTCGGGTCCGCTTAATAGAGGTGTCCGCTGAATAGGGTTCGTTATTAAGGGAAATATAAGACGTTAATTTCGGGACCTGGCTTAGTGTCCGCTGTATAATTGGGGGTCCGCTTAATAGAGGTTTCATTGTATATATACTATATTGTTAAAATGCACTTGAAATCTCTTTAGTCACGTTTTAGCAAATCCAGTCAGATATTTAGATCATATGATATGATATATATATATATCTGACTGGATTTGCTAAAACGTGCCCAAAGAAATTTCAAGTGCATTTTAACGATTTGACATCTAAGTCGAATGGAAAACAGTGAAAAGTCACTAGCTAAGGCTCAACAATCATAGCTTTATTGCTGGCAACAGACGGTAAATTCCTCTCGCAGCGGAAGCAACAGCATTTTGCGATGAAATAAACAACGAGTTTGAAACGTTGGGAAAGTATAACTTTTTAGTCAGTCAAACCATGAGGCCCATAAGTCTCCACCGAGAACACTAGATTTAAAATCCACAATCTTTGAGCACAGAATAGGCTTTCTATGGAAAAATCACCTACACTAAACACTCACGAAGCGTTTTTACGCTTGGCACAAAGTTTTCTGGTAAAAAGAGGTCAACCACATACCTGTGAACACCTTCGGTAAATCACACAATAAATGACTTTGGCGGCAATCACAACACTTCTGAAAACCACTCATAACACTTCCACACCTAATTGTATTCAACAGCACAGTCGACGTGAACCATGGCGGACGGACGTGAACCTTCTGGTCCCGTTTTGACGAAAGATACCGAGTCTTACCAGCTTAACCTTAAATGGTGCGAATTACAATCCCTTAAGCTAAACGGGGAACGATTAACGTGGACGAATAACCTTGAATCGTTAAAGAATTTTGTGGAAAATGGCTTGAAACTACAAGGAAAGTGGTCGTCGCCCGGAGGAAACGTAAAGCAATTCAAAAGTTCTAACAATAATCTTGTCATCAACTGGTATAATAAGAAACAGCTAACCCTTTGTTTCCAAGGTCGAGATGGTCCCTCCTTAAAGGACAAGTTGGTCAAGTTTATTCAAAATAAACAGGGAACAGAAGCTGATACGCCTGTCTCGTATGCTTCAACAACCGAGCAAGAAATTCCGCCTTCGCAAGAAGCCAATGGCATCTGCAGTAATCGACTAGCTTCGGCCGCCGACGCCGAACTTGAGAACAGTATTCAAGAGCGATCGAACTCGGTTATCAGTGCTGATATTGAGGGCTTAAAACTGGATTTACTAATTCTTCAGAAAAAGGTTGAAGCAAATACAAGCCTTCTGTCGACGAAATGCAAATTACAAGAAACCGCTTTTAGCGCCGAGCTCCTCGATTACAAAGAGAGGTATGAGAAGGTGTTATCGACATTATCTAAAAAAGATAATGAAATTGAGGTGTTGGAGGAAAAGTGTTTTTCCTATGAGAGCCAAGTTTTGTCCTTGCAACAAGAAAATGATTCTCTTAAGCTGGCAATGAAGATCATTATGCAAGAAAGAAGCGAGGGCGAATGCCGCCAACAAAAGATATGTGATTGTTGGTCCCAAGTGGGCACACTTGGGAAAAGTGTGAATGATAAACATATCCAACGGCCGTTGGCGGCCTGCAATATAGTAACTCAGAACAGATTTGAGCCCCTTAGAAGTGAGGTACAATTCCAAGTGAGAAATGAGGACAACTATACTGCAAATAACGAAGAAAGTCGCCAACAACAGCAACAGCAACATTCACATGTTGATTCATCTGAAGCGAGCCGGGCATTTGATTCAATTCCAACTAGTCATAACCGCTATCAGGCCTTACTTGTCTCTTCTCCTTCGAGTCAAGTATCCTCTGAGATGCCACTGCATCAGTCTGGAGCGCACGCAAATACCTCTCGAGTTAGTGCAAATAACTCCAAAAGCGGTGAAGTCGGAAAGACAAGACCCATAGTGCTTATTGGTGACTCAATGATAAAACACATTGATCCAAAAAAGCTTTCGCAAAGACATGTACATAAATTCTCATATCCCGGGAAAACCACTGCTGAAATAGCTGAAGCTGTTGACAACATCGCTGTTGCATCCGCGGATCCTTCTCACGTCATCATCCATACTGGCACCAACAATCTTCCGTCGGAGTCTGCCGATTCATGTGTCGCCGATATCAAGAGCCTTGTATTGAAGGTGAAGAGCAAGTTTCCTAACTCAAGCATTGGTCTCTCGGGTATAGTCTACAGAGAAGATATCAACGTCGATGCTAAACGCATTGAAGTTAATGAGAGGGTCAAGCTCACAGCAGTAGATAATAACTTTACTTATATTGATAATTCGGTTATTGACGCCTCAGCATTAAATGGTAGTAGACTTCATCTGAATGCCAAAGGTTCGTCATTGCTGGCCGTGCAATTTATTAAGTTTTTAAGATCTGGTTCTGGCAAGTATAATCAGTCTCTTAAGGGTTTTCAGTCCTCAGCTATCCAACAACTGGTAAAGCTTCTGATGGAACTGGGAAACCTTCCCTCTCCAGCTCGCAACAGGAGACGCCCACGCTAGCTTCTCAACCGAGTGACGTATCATCAGGTATTCCTAATCAAAACGTTGATTCATTTGAAAGTACAATTCTCTCTGATTTTCTTCCTTCTGGTCGTGGTTTTAAAATTGCAGGTTTAAACATTAATAGTCTTACAAAGCATATTGATGAACTAAGAATTCTCCTTGCCGATCGCTCCATTGATATTCTCTCAATTAATGAAACTAAACTTGATGACTCTATCAATAGTTGTGAGGTCCAAATACCAGGCTATGAATTTATTCGTCGTGATAGAAACAGACAAGGAGGAGGAGTAGGTTTTTATATAAAAACCTCGATTAATTTTGGAGTTCGCTCTGATTTGAATGCACCCAGTCTTGAAAATTTATGTATAGAGATTCGGAAACCAAACTCCAGGCCATTTCTGATAGCCACTTGGTACAGACCTCCTTGCTCCTCAATTGATTTATTTTTACCTTACGAATCATTTCTTGAGAAATTAGATTCCCTCGGCCTAGAATATTATCTGCTAGGTGATTTAAACTGTAACCTGGCCTCTGCACAATATGATTTAAATACTCGACGCTTATGTGAAATTTCTGATTTATTTGGGCTTCAACAGCTTATAACTGAACCTACTCGCATAACGGAATCCTCTTCAACATTAATTGATTTAATTTATACAAACTATACTGACAGGGTAGTCTGTTCCGGAGTCTCTCATATTGGTATCAGCGATCATAGCCTTATTTACGT